CTTCTATTCAACGGAAGGAGACTGCGACCACACAAAAGGCCACACCATCTTGGTCTTTATACCTTCGATTTTACCTATTTGTGTTTTGCTTTATACCTGTTGTTGACTATCGACCTTTCTTGTTTCTCTACTTTGTGTATCTGCGGCAATCTGTATGCTGTGAATTTATTATCCATAAGTTGATTTCGCGTTCCTGTGCATATATTTCAGTATGTCGCATAATTTTCCACTACTCTTCATAGTTGGGCCCCTTAGTAATGATACGTGGTTCTATCTCGTAGCATACATACCATCTTCTAGATATATTATTTTCCGTCCATCTTCACTGTTGCTCCTCCTTTATCTGCCCAAATGACGAATTGTTCATTCCTTTGTAGGGTCCTGCGTACCCTTGCAAATCTGTTCCTGTTTGTTGGTCCATGTGTCGACATTATTGAGAGTATTTCCATTTCCCGTTTTGTCTCTGCAGGAAACTTGCCACAGATATTGATTGCTTTCACAATAGACCTCCAACAACGCTCTTTCCATTTTGAGGGTAGAAGCTCAGTCCCTTCTTCAGGATCGTAGTGGTTTACTGCTCGAGATGAACCGATGATAAATTCACCAATTTATCCTCCATCCTGGTACTTATCAGTAGACGTTATTACCTCGGAAACTATTTCAACTGGATGCATTGGCTGTCCTATATGCAGTCCTATACTCCCATACCTAAGCGACTTTTTGGTATCCTTTGTTATCAAGTCAGAGATTCTATGTGATTTTTTGTCGGCCTTATTCTTCATGATCATTTCCAAAGTTGAACCATGGACGTGGTACATTCCCAAACGTTTCGTCGGCATCGTAGTCGGCATCATCAGTGAATATCGCCATTTTTAGTTGTTATATGGTGCTAAGAATGGCGATACTCACTGACGATGCTGGCGAAACGTTTGGGAATGTACCACGTCTACGGTCCGACTTTGGAAATGATTATGCATACAATGGACTCAGGACAAGGTGCGCTCCTCTAAGTAGTCCTACCAATATGACCAAGTTGCGAAAACAAGGTCAAACAACTTCTATACTACAAAAGGAGACTGCGACCACACAAAAGGCCACGCCATCTTGGTTTTCATATCTTCGAGTAAAGTTTTTATTTTACCTCTTTTTCTCAATTTGTTTGATGCGATAAGGAGATCTTAGGGTTTAAATCTGATCTTGCGACCTATGCCATTGTATTCGTGGTCATTCCAAGGTATCAAGTCAAGGGTCGGATTCTGGATATTATCCTAGATTAAGCAGGACTTGGTATGTTTTATATGGTCGTACTGTCGCTCCGAACGAGTTGGGAAACGAGGTCAAACAAACAACCTTAGAAAAATTGCTTTAATTATCTCGGCTATTTTCCCCTACTAACTCATGATTATCTGAATTAGAAGAAATTTTAAGTTAGATAACTTAGAATGTTATGCCTGTGAGCAGGTTTTGGTATATATGTATAATACACAAGGACATTAAATTATCCTTTTATTTTCACGTTGTCAAGTACACCCTTTCTATTTGCTCTTTCAGTCTGGGCCCAGTACAACGTCTATTGTGAACTTCCCTCCTCCTCTCTCACCAATTATTCCAAATTCAAACATACCTATTCCCTGTCCAGAATCCCCTATTTGTTCTACTACTCCTAACTCTTTTCGATCATTGCTCGGTGTCTCGGCTTCCCAACTGGCCGATTTGAGTCCCTGGCATGATAGTATTCAAGTCGGACAGACAAACGAGTCATCACCTTGCAAATCCAGCTCTGTGGACATGGACCAGTCATCCAATATCTGCTTAGATGATGACGAGCAGGATAATAAGGCTAGTGATATAATTTCAAGCGAATCTCATGCAGGTAAGAAGAGGACAAGGATCATGGATGAGTCTGAGGCAGGCAGGATTATGTCAACTCCAAGTCTACTGGCGCTCACTCCGGAGCAATCTACTGCAGCAAGGAAGGTGCGAAGATGTATACATCTAATAATTTAAATTTTTCAGGAAAATTCCGTCCTTGAATTATTTTAAGTATTCTACCTTTGCCCTCTTCTGGAACGAAATATTTCATATTTATTCCGTTTTGATTTTTTTGGTATATAATTATTCGTTCTATTGAGTCTCAGCAGCTTTTTAATGAAGTTAGACCACCGTAATATATTTATGAACGTTTCTCTTGAAAATTACCGTATATTGTTTTTTAATGGTAGATTTTTACTTACGAGCAGTACGCATGCTATAGGAAAACAATTTAGCTGACGAGGCAAGCCTACTCCTTAGTAGGACGATAAAACAAGTTTAAATGTTAGCATATAAAGCGAAACTAGTTTCTATTATCCCATTTATTCAACATAGGAGCCCTTAAAATATCTTCCGTGCAAGCTCTGAATCTTTCATATTCCTTAGGCAAATTTATCTCGGAATCACATAAATTATAGATAATGAGCTTAAAAGGGATGATTAGGATGAGGACCTAATTACTGACAATAGAAAATGTAGAATTAAACTAAATGAGAGACAACAATTTGTTTCTAACGGAAAATCTAATAATATAGGTTGTATTGCCTGGTTCGAGGTCATTTCTCTGCATTTTTTCTTCACGCCTTCGAATCCTTTATCTAAAAGGCGTAAATTACTTTAAATTTGATAGAGAGGTGGAATATAGGATAATGGGATTCTCAATTTTTTGGGGAGCATCCAAAACAGGTACCCATGCATGACGAGTTCATGGGTATTTCTTTGGCTGCATACTCCCATGTATGCCACTAGATAGGCATAATCACCAGTTATGGTATTTACACTTTTGTTTATCGCCCTACAACATTTGAAACATTTAAAATAAGTAAATTAAGTTCGCTTTACTTATTTTGAAATTGTTTGTTTTCGGCTTTGCATACATTTAGGTTCTTGAATTGGACAGAATTGTATCATATATATATATATATGTATATATAATATATAGCTCATGATTGTTATTTTTTCACAGGCTCGTCTTGTTACACCAAATGTCAATCCGTTCCGTTATTCACACTCTGGTGTGGAAACACCTTCTATTTTCTCTAAAGCATCATCCTCGAATTCATCTACTTCGGCTGTCCATTCCAAGGTATTTTGCTTTATTCAAAGGGCAACTTTTTATATGAGTCGACACTATTTCTTCCCTTGAATTGTATACTACTCCCATAAGTGCGTTTAAGAGATTTCGGGATCCTTTATGATTCTCAAATGGAGAAACTTATTCTAATT